GTTTATTTGTGTGACCTAGCCTATTTCACATATTACTAAATGACTATTTTATACTTTGTGGAGTGTCAAGAAGTTTTGTCATTAAAATAAATGTTGAGAATTATATGTAACTTAATCGAAAGTTTCATTAGTTTCCAGTGTAAATATTATTTCAAACACAATGGTATACTCAAAACAGACTTTTTGATGTATTACTTTTTTTTTTTTTTTTTGATACCAGGGATTGAACTCGGGTCCTTGCATTTGTGGGGCAGTGATGTATTACTTTTTGACAGAGATGAGATCAGTAGAGAAAAGAGTTGAAGAAAGCTAATCTATCCACTGATCCTTTTCAAAGAATATCTTAGTGTAGAGGCTTTCTTAGAATAGCTTCTATAATTCAAAGCTTTCCAATTCTAGTAATAACAGTTTACTAGATAGGTATATGGATAAATGAGAAAATATTGATAATCTCATCATATGAAATATTTATAAATATAGGCTGTAATGTTTTTACTACTGTTTAAATATAAACACAATGCACAAACCCTGTTCTTTCACAGGCTTCATTCAGAAAAAAATATTTAATATATTCCTATTAAAATATTTACATATATATGTTATTCTTGGGCCAATTAAGATTACTCAGTGAAATATCTATAACTAATCAAAAGAAATACAAAAAGTCCTGCTTAATATTATAATCTCATATAGGAAAAGTCTCACCCCTTACAAGACAGACTTCCTTTATTTAACACAACTACCATTTGGCTTCCTCCAGTAGCTCATCCTCTTTTAACAGAATAAAAATCCTTAAATCCTAAACACATGCTATACAATTTATAGCCACTATTCACATGTGGCCATTGCACATTTGAAATGTAACTAGTCTAAGGGCCGGGGATTTAGCTCAGTGGTTCGGCTGCCTGCCTCACAAACACAAGATCCTAAATTCAATCCCCGGTACCAAAAAAAAAAAAAAAGGACAATACTGAAATGTAACTAGTCTGGATTGAGATTGTGATAGTGATTTTGTGATTGGGATAACTATGTAATGAAAACTGGATCGCTACTAAATTTACAGCAGTTTGAAATTAGCCTGACATACAGGGAACTTTGAGACAAGTACAGTAGCTAAGAGGAAAGGATTTATTTAATCTGGCAAATTAACTCCCTAAATCTCTCATAAAGCAAAAAAGATACCTAGGGAAAATGAAGATGGGCAAAAAGGAGAATGAAGTGAAACTGCTATCATAAATCTAAAGGAAGAAAAGATTTCAAGAAGGAAGTGGTTAATAATGTTAAACACTATATAGAAATTATACTGAAATAAGGGCAGAGTCTACTAATTTTAATAAAATATCATTGGTTACGTTAACAGGAGCAGTTTCAGTGAAGTCAGGGAAATAGTATTCTGAAGAGAGAATGAGATTTGAAGTAGTCTTTCAAGAGCTTTGAAAGTGGCATTAATGGAGAGAAGGCTAAAGCCATAGAAGAAAAATGATAGAGGACGATTCCCAAAGAATTTGGATTGGATAATGAAGGAATTAGTCTTGTATAAAGAAGGGACTTCTCTTAAAGGAACTTAGTAACTATGTTTTTAAAACATAAGCTTCTAAAAAAAAAAACAACAAAAAAACCCCATAAGCTTCTGAGAAAGAAGAATGAATACCCATGCGAATGTTTGTGTAAAGGTAATGGTGTTTGGAAAGTTAAAGAAATATAGAATCTATGTATTTTATACATCAAAGCAACTTCACACATACAGTTGAGTCTCTTACCAGTAAAAATAGGCTCAGGGACACTGAATGACTTGCCCAGTCCTGGAGACAGGGAGCAGCAGAGGTGCTTCTTCAGACTCAGAATGTTTCATATGCCGCATTCCTCAATAATATGAAGCAGAGGAATAAAGTTGTGAAGGAAAAGAACCACAGGAAGTAAGAGGCTAGCTTGAGCAAAATCAAGGGATGCATTGCTTCCAACAAGAGAGAGATATCTTTCCAGAGACTGGGTATCTACGGCTATCTTAATAAAGAAAGACTAAAGAAATGTCTAATCATAATTGTGTTGTGAGTGCTTTTGTCAGGATGGAAGAGGAGGAATAAAGTCTGTCTACTGGAAAACAGAAAAGGGGCCTGACCTTTACGTGGTACTGAAAAATCCCAGGGATTTTTCTCCTTACTGGGATACAATGTGCTAGTGCTGAATTTTGTCTTCATTTGGAGATGCCCTTTTTGTTAGCATTACAATTTCTGAGGCTCTGGCCACACTATGGTAACACATTAGATATAGAATTTCAGACAGTCTGACATATTCTTTTAAAAATTATTTTCATTAGCGCAAATGCAAGGACCTGAGTTCGATCCCCGGTACCAAAAAAAAAAATTATTTTCATTGGCTCATACCCTAATTCTGAGACAATAACTAAGAGAATGGCATCAATACTTGCTCAATGTTATGATGAATGATGTTTTGGTGAGACAGGGGCCGCAGTGCTCAGTGAGGTAAGGAAAGAGTTTAGGAATTAAAACTCTGACAAACCAGAGTGCAGTTAGGCACACCTGTGTTAGAAATCCAGTCTACACTCAATGTAATAGTACTGGATAAAAGTTTTCAAGTTTTTCCTAGAGGCTTTGTTTTTCTTGGCTGAGGTGGGGGCACAGTAGAGAGATGAGTGGTTTTGTAAGACTTGTATCTCCTCTTCATTTAGCTGTGCCTTGGGGTCTCTTAGGAATAGCTCCATAATTTAACTAGCTACCTCAAGTGTACTTTGGGAAAAGTAAAAAAACCAACTGGACTTTGACAGCTTCACCAGATCCCCCTCTTTGTCTTTGATATTTCTGGCAGGAAATGGTGCTGAGCCAGTGAATGGGTTCAAGGGTAGAGGTCCCAGCAGGGGACCAGCATTTGCCTTCTGATAACCTTGAGGAGCAGTGCACAGGAGCCTGTTGTGACACTATAAAGGCAGCAGCTCCAATACACTCTGGGGGTGCAGCCTCATCCATCCATCTACTGTTGGCACTTTTGTTATTTCCTTCCAAGGGATGCTTGCTTTTCTCTGTGGGCCACATGGGAAGTTGGAGAAGCTAGAAAAGCAATTTTCTTTTCCTCTCCTTCTTAACCATTTCCCCTAATCCTGAAACACAAGGTCCCTGCTTTGTCCTTGGCACACACAGGGTGTGTGTGTGTCCACGCGCGTATGTGTGTAAGGGGGCTAAACAATCACTAAGCTTCTCTGACCTCCAGCTCACTAAGGGAAAGTCCATTTTAACAAGAAGCTAATTAGTGAATGAAAAATTATATTTTGCATTTAAAGTGAACTCTATTTTCATTTGATAAAAAAAAATCAGATTATTTATGGATTCTATCAAATACTGTCACCTTCATGTCAGGCTGGACTTCTAATAAAGTGAGTTTATCTGTTGAAAATGATAACACATAAAATGAGATATTTCGGTTTGGTTAGTTAGCTCAGTGATTGTCTTCTAGTCTTCAATAGTTAACTTTTTAACTTTACTTTCTGTCAAATATAATCTTAACTAATTAAGTCTGTCTTTCATTATCACGTTGTTATCATGGCATGAAATTAAAATTTCAAAATTAAGATTTTGAAATTAAAGAACCAATTTTGAAGCTCTTATTTTAATTCTTTTATTTATCTTATAGAAGCCTTATCTAATGTGTCTGAATCTCTTTTGGGTAGCAGACAACTTGAATTATGACTCATTTTTCCTCCAAATTTTCTTGTATATTATACTCTCCAGTGGGTATCATTTTTCCTCCGATGACACAGATTCTCCTTTATGTTTAGTCACTTGACTTGCAGGAAAACAGAAAAAATGACCAGGCAAAATAGCCTTGGTTATCAAGTAGGTTATTCCTATGCAGGTTTGCCCAAGACCCTTAAAGGTACAAAGCTAGATTTTCACAATCCATTACAATACATTATGAGACAAGACACTGAGCAGCAAAGTATAATCTAAGATTTTCTAAATATTAGCAGTATTAAACCTTAACTGTACATTACAAAAATACATTTGGTAAATATTTTTAAATAGAACACCTAAAATCAGGCTTTTTCTTTTTGTTTTCTTTTTTTGAAACGAGATCTTACTCTGGAATTCAAGTTGTCCTTGAATTTGCTATGTAGCCCAGGCTGGCCTCGAACTCTGGCGATCCTCCTGCCTTAGCCTCCTGAGGCATACATCAATATGTCCAGCTAAAATCAGACTTTTTAATCTAATGTTTGAGTAGAAAAACATATCCTGCACATTCTTAATTAAAACACAATAAAATGACTAGTTGTAGTAATGAAGTCAGTTTGGTTTGTTTTATATATATATTTTTTGGTACTGGGGATTGAACTTGGGTTCTTGCACTTGCATAGCAGGCGGCAAAACTACTGAGCTAAATCCCCGGCCCTAGTTTGGTTTGTTTTAAAAAGCAAAACAAATGAGACTGCACTTTGACAAGCACGTGAGGAAAAGATCATTTTCACACACTGCTAATGGTGCCACCGTTCTGAGCACAATTTATGTCAGAAACCTTGGATTCTGCAATACCCCCGATCCAATCTTATGAGTTAGGCACTATTATTCCACTTTAAAGATGGAGATGCTGAAATTTTTCAAAAAACAAAACAAAACTAAGTACCTTTCCAAGGATACATAGTAAACTAATGGTAGACTCTGGATTTAAATTCATGCCTATTGCTATCCAACCCAAAACTTACACTTAGCCTCTACATTATAAACTTAGTCCAGCTGGGTGAGGTGGTATTTATCTGTAATGCCCCCTATTCAGAAGGCTGAGGCAGAAAGACTGTGGCTTCGAGGCCAATCTGAGCAACACAGCAAGAACTTGTCTTAAAAAACAAAACAATACCTTAATCCAATGAGACTTGTTTTTGAAAGTATTGCTCTAATAGACTGACATGCAATATTTTAACATATTGGAGACTGTCATGATATGAAAAAATATTTTCAAATTTATAAACAGCAAAAGTAATTTTTAAAACAATATGATTTTATAAAATTTTATTTTATAGATATTTGTGACAGAGTAGTACATCTAAAGATACTGGTGAAATACTGGTGACAGCACATGAAAAAAATTTTCATTTTATGTCGTTCCTAAAATTTCTACCTTTGAATTATAAACTATCTCTTTAAAGATCATTTAATTTGTTCTCAAACCATAAGCCACCAATTTTAGGACAAAACCTACTTTTATTTAAAAAGGTACATGAAAATGAAAGATGCAGTATCAATTTAAAAATAATTATTATAACTCTCTAGTGGTTCTTCTTGATTTCTTTAAGTCTAAACACTATAATTTACTAAGGTTGTTTATGCTGGAATTGTATAGCAAAAGGAAAGTTACAGAGAAACTGGGCAGGGCCACAGAACCCCTGGAGCTATCACTAACAGACTTCTTTCTCTAGGACGAATATCATTACTTTACATCCTAATTCTCTCTTCCTGCACTGGATTTTATATGGTCCGAATGAACTCTATAGTTAGTTAGAAAGAGTACCAAGAACTCATATTTATTTATTGATAAAAGATAAGGATGGGAAAAACAGACTTGCTGGCTTTCCCATGTTGATCTTCATTAGTAAAACTACTCAACATGTTTGTTCAGTCTGCTTCTTTTCTTTCCATAGGTCTTGCAAGGTGTTATGTTAACACCAATGGAATTCACTGAACGATATGACTGAATGAGGGAGAGCTGGTGCTTGCAGCTTTATCCCAGCACAGAAGATTCTTGTTGGATTTGTTGAAAAGCTCTGAGAGGAAGGAAGAAACATTAGTGAGAATTTCCCTCAGATAAAATGTTTGGGTTTCAAGAAATCCTGCTCAATTATGTTCCCCTCATATATATATGAGATAGGTCAGTCTTTCTAATTAAAGATTGGTTCAGTTCTAGTTGACCCAATGACTGAGAGTTGTTCTACTATCTATATTAGGCAGCTGTCACTATAATGAAATACTGGAGGCAGGCAACTTTATTTAAAAGGGGGGAACCCCCCCATGCATCACACAGCTAATGATGCCACCTTTCTGAGCACAATTTATGTCAGAAAACTTGGATTCTGCAATACCCTCTGATCCAATCTTAGGAGTTAAACACTATTATTCCACTTTAAAGATGAAGATGCTGAAATTAAAAAAAAAAAGTTCCTTTCCAAGGACATATAGTAAACTAATGGTAGAATCTGGATTTGGTGGGCATGGTGGCACATGGAGCACTCAGGAGGCTGAGACAGCAGGAGGATCACCGTTGAGTATGAGGCCTGCTTGAACTACAAAGCGAGATTCTGTCTCAAAAAACAAACAAACAAAAAGAGGTTTATTTAGGCTCATGGTTCTGAAGGTGCAAAGTCTACAGACCCCATCTGGCAATGGCCTTTAGCTGGCAGAATCCCATGGTCACATCGAGCACATGATACAAGGAGCATGCATGCCTGTTGGTTCTGTCTTTTCCTCCATATAATGCTACCGGGATTAAATCATGGGGCCTCCACTCTAATGACTTTATCCTAATCACATCCCCACAGCCCCATCTAAACACCATAGTTGGACAAAGTTTCCACCGGCATAATGCTTCACAGTGGAAGGTAAATTCAACACAGGAAGCCCTAGGGGACATTCAAACTATCTCCAAACAATAGCACCACCACATATCCTTACACAAATTAAAGTACTAAAAATATATATATATATATATATTTTTTTACGTATATCACAATTTTGAAAATACTAAAAAATCCCGAGGAAGATTAAGATCACCCCACAATCCCATCACTCAGGAAAAAAATATTTATTATTAATAGTAAAAATTGGTAATTAATTTGAAAGGGTACAGTAAAAAGTCAAAAACAGTTAAGTAGAAATAAACTTTACAGGGCCGGAGGTTTAGCTTAGTGGTGCCAGCACCTGCCTGGCAAGCACAAGGTCGTGAGTTCGATCCCCAATTCTGCCAAAAAAGAAAAAAATCAAGATTAAAAAAAATAATAATAAACTTTACAAAAGAAAAGCTTTTGAATTTGCTTTGAAATGAGGAAAATAAAGATTACCTATCAGTTAACAGGTCTCCCAGATCCCTGTTCTCCATAGTAGTTCTACAAAATACTCAGTGATTGAGAGACTGTGGGAGTTGGCTCTCTGGACCAAGCCATGTGCTTTCTCATACCTGTATTGTTACAGTATAGAAAAGGAACAGTTTTAGCAGTCAGACATATACAATAACGGCGCCTAGTCACTAAATTACAGCAAATACTTCATGAATAAATAAAGGATTTGGCAAACTGTCATCGAAATTCACCATTTGTTACTTCTACTGAATTTTTGCTTTCATTTTTTGGACTCCCAAGACAGTATTTTCTTGTGGAATTTAGATTTAGTAAACATTTCTGCTACCAATTTCTAATGCAAAAGTCCATACAACCACAGTAAAATAAATCTATGGTGGCTACAAAAAGGCACACTTAGGAGTCACCTGGATACAGCCAAAAAGCCATTCAAAGAACTTGAGAGGAAATTACTTTTACTGATAAAATCTATATACTATATAAAGTCTATTATTTCTTGAACTAAAGTCTCATGTGACTCAGCTTCTGCTCTGTGGACAAATATCTCTGAGAAATGCTTCACGGGATATACTCTTCTTGAGTTTATTATATAGTAGCATATTAAGGGCTCTAACCAGTGAGGAACAAAGAAAGCAATTCACCTTTGTTTCATACAGTGTTTCCCAAACTTCTCTGACCATGAATCCTTTGATAGCTACTAATAATCAAAGGAACTCAGGATTTGAGGAACACATTTTATGAAATGCCACCTTAATAAATGTATCACTCTCTATGATTTCCAGCTATATTAGTAACCTACAGATAACCAGGCTTAAGAAGATTCACTCCTTTACCTAAACTTACACAGACTAAAGCTGACCAATTTATAGTGACAAATATTTATACAATCAGCATGTATGAATAAAGTTTATAGTATGTAAATGATATCTCTATTAAAAGGCTCATTTTGGTGATTAATTTTCTCTTTCAAAGAAATGCTTGTGTTTCAGGAATACTGAGTACTAGTTATTTGGTGAACATGTTATCAGAACAAAAGGAGGATGTATTTAAATCACTTAGCAGTCCAATTATTTAAATACAGGATAACCAAAAATTGCATTTTTCATTAATTTTTATAAGATAACAGGAAATATAAAGCGACAATTTTATCAACTTTATTCAATGTAAGAGTCAACCGGTTAAAATGATACCTGCCCAGGTGATGCTTGGGATAGTCAGTATGTAAGCAAAGACGCTGCCCAAGTGACGCTGGGGGTAAACTGTTAGTGGTTAAAGAATGTTTGATGCTGCCCAAAGTGACTCGTTCCCGTCTCACAAAAGATATGTCTGTCATTACTATGCCTCTCAGACTCTATGCGCCTCTCCCCTTAAGTGTGCTATTTGAATATGATATGATTCTACCTCTTTTAGCCTTTCTTTTCAAATGCATTGGCTAATGCTATGATCTTCTTAGGTCCTAATAATACAAGAAGCAAATGGAATCTCCAGGGTAGAAATGAAGAGCAGCAGCCATACTCTAAAAGAGTTCACACATGTGCAGTATTTCTCTTAAATGTCATCTTTTTCTTGACATATATATGTGTGCAAATATTTTATGAATATAAAGACTAGAGGTTTTAATTCTAGATCTTTAGGCTACTACACACAGAACATGTTGTATGTTTGCTTTTGACTTTACATGCTGAATAATAGACATCAAAGGCTGAGAAGGCTCAGTGCTAAAAATCTAAGAAAACCCAACAAGATTGATATAAGTAACTAAATCAGAATCATATTCTATGTATCTCTCCTAGTGTTGAACATGAAAAAAATGATTTTATTTGCTACCACTATCAAATTATACAGCTAAGTAAATCTCAATGGTAATTTTTTTTTTTTTTTTTGGTTCCAGGGATCGACCTCAGGACCTTGAGCTTGCAAGGCAAGTGGCAGAACCACTGAGCTAAATCCCCAGCCCTCAATGCTCATTTTTTAAAGCTCTTGGTTCTCTAAGACACTTTTAACACCCACAAAACAAATACAAGTATCACATGAAAGGAGATGACACTTTTTTATATGAGAATTCTTTACTGAACTATTAAACTATTTAAAACACCACTCTTTAAAGAGGCCACAAAAATTACAGCATTTAGAAATTTTAGATATAACTCTTAAAAGCCAAGATATTATAATTTTTCAGTCATCTTGTACATAGTTTAGCATCAAGAAGATAACTTCTATAGAAACTATCGGTTGATTCAGACTCCATTCCTGCTAGTATTATGTAGAGCATCCACGATGGTTCTGTTGTACTCCGAAATCTGCTTGGTCACATTTTTAATGATTTGCTGGTAATCACTTTCCTGACTCTTGGTTGCTATGACTGTTACATGAGTTAAGGGAGAACACTGTCAATAAAAATATTATCTTAATTGTGGCTCAGAAAGGAATGAAATCATACTGATATTTTCTAATGAATATAAGGTAGTACAGAAAAAGCACAACTAGAATACTTTTTTTTTTGGGTACCGGGGATTGAACTCGGGTCCTTGTGCTTGCTAGGCAGGCGGTGGAATCACTGAGCTAAATCTCCAGCCCTAGAATACTTTTTAAATACAGCAATTATTTTAATAGACTAAACATAAATTAAAACCTAAAAAGCCAAGCAAAAGTTGTTTCAAAAAATTTGCAGTAAATTTACTTTTTAATCCTTAATACATTACACATCTAATCTAATTCTGGGATTACAACCAAGTTGTGGAATCATAAAATACTGTACCACACAGAATTTCAGGCTAGTTTCTAGACCTCACTCTTTTTTAAGATTATATCTTTTGTGTTGCACTGAATGAACTAGGAGTGCTAGACTTTAAGCAAATTGTGAATGTGACATATAACTATAGTTATATATTTTTTTTTCTCCAAAAAATCATGATGGAAATACTACTTTAAACATGATAAAATTGAGGCTTATACAGGTTGAGTAAGCTGCCCAAACTCCAAAGCTTTTAAGTGGTAGAGTCAACATTTAAAATTAAATCTCCCAATTCCAAAACCTATACATTTATCACCATGACTTTATACTCCTATTTTTGGCAATTCTCAAGGTCTGTTTGCTATTAGTTACTGTGGGATACATGTAACACACACACACACATACACACACACATGCCCTACAATTGTACAATGAAAGCTAAAGTATTCATTTGTGTTTCAGTTAGCTGAGTGCTTTTGTACATATTGAGTATTTGATAAAAATGTTTGTTGAATTAATTTCATTTGAGTTTTTAAAGAAATTCCTAGAAAATAACATAGACTCTTATCCACTGTAAATGTATGCAAGTGGCTGGGTTTTAAATAAGCAGGATTTTCAGGTGATTTCTATGAATGCCAAAGCCTTGGTTTCCAGGCTTTGCATTATGTACATGAAAAGAATGTGACAATCCTAGATAATTAGACATAAACACAAAGCCTTATATTTGACACATTTTGTTTTAAAAATAGACGTTGTTTTTCAGCTTCGTTTGTAGTTCTATGTGAAGATTAATCAGTTTTTACTTGTTTTATTAATAAAACAATTTGGATATCTTGAGTTGATGGTTTTGTGATTTAGCTGGGTAAACTATCTTTGCAACAGATAAGTTGTTTATAAAAATTAAAAAACTTATATTCTAAAAAAATTCCTAGAAAATAATAACACTCAAATTCATTTCACCATCTTAAAGGATACATTCTTTCATCACAAAATTATTTTGCTCATGGTGTTGCCACTTTCTCTCCAAATTTGTAAGCTAAAAACACAAAAGAAAAATATTAACTGTTGCTCATATTTGAAACAATTATATACTTTTTCAAGAGGATAAGGAAAAAATGCCATTTCAAATCTTATCAACTTGCGTTTGAGATAAAGCTGTAATAGATTAAAAAATTTCAGAAAACTTAAACAGTAACAAATATATTAATAAAATGTTTAATCCTGTAACAGGTTTTACTCTATATTATTTAATTAGAAAATATTTAAATGTTTATTATAATAATAAACATGCCAACTAAATGATAATTTATAATTTTCCTTTTCCTAAGAGAACTTAAAGAAGAAAAATGGGAAACGATGGGTATCTCTCTTTGAAATTTGGAAATCTAATGCGACAAGAGTAACATATATTCTAACACTGTCAAAGGTTTAGTTATATAGGAAAAACTTCCTTATTTCCAAGGCTAAATTTCCTGTCTAATTTCAGAAGCTCTGATAAGACCAGAGCTGCACTGTGAAGATTATAAGAGGGTTTGTAAAAAGCTGGCACTGTTACAATAATTTCTACATCAACAGGAAACTAATGTGGATATTTTACTGATGGTCGTTTCCTCAGAAGACAATTTTACTGTTACAGAATTAAATTGTTTTTCTGATTTAATTAACTTGTAACTCTGGGTTATGGTCTTTCTTTTTTAAGATGCACATAGTTTTTTCTAAGCAAAGGGCTGTCTGAAAAATGAAACACTAAGATAATGTTCTGCATAGATACTTCAAAAAAGTACTGAACATTTTTAAACATATGATACTGAAGCAGCAATAAAAATGTTCCTTTTACTCTCATGTTAAAATTATTTTCAGGGCCTAAGTTCAATCTTAATGTAGCAGCCATCCTATCGTCTCCTCCAAAGAGATAGATCTAGGTGTTAGGATGAATCATAATTAACTTACTCTGTGAACTATATGTGCTGTGAGCTAATACTATTAAATGCATGCTCCCTCTCTCCTAAATAGGACCTTGAAGTTAAGATGCTCTTCAGGAAGCAGTCAGCACTTCTTGGCAATAAATCATTAATAATGTTTTGTAAAGTCAAGTACCAGACTTTTTTCTCTTTGTTTTATAGAAAGAGGTGGCCTTGTTATAATGCAACAGACCTCTTAAGTGCTATACAAATAATGATATAAAAGTAACACCAGCTGGGGATTTAGCTCAGTGGTGCTGCTACCTGCTTTGCAAGCACAAGGTCCAAAAGTTCGATCCCCAGTACCAAAATAAATAAATAAATAAAATAGAAGTAACACCATGTCAGATGGTCAAATTCATTTTACTTTATTCTTCTACATGACTGATTGGCCTTAAACCTCCGTAGACATCATGATCACAAGCCTATTTTTGAAAATTTGGGTTTTTTCTGTAACTTAAATAATCTGTTACATAAAATTATTTGTAAGTGCCCAAACCCAGTTTTTAAGAAAATAGTTGTAAAAGATTAGGAGATAGGATTTGATCACTTGGGATCCACAAAAGACATTAAATAATACAGAGAAGGATTTTAAATTGTGGCTTTTAGTATGGTTTCTGGTTATCAATAAATGGAGCTAAGATATGACTAGCATTTAATATGGAAATAAACAGAGTAGCCATTGATTGATTCTTAAGAAATAGCATTTGTCAAGTGCTTTCCACCTTAAATCATCTATTCAGGGGAAGAGGAGAGCTAGTAGTTCATCGAATATACGCTTCTGTCTAAGAACCATTTAAAACAGTGATCTCACACACTTTAAGTATTTCTCTCCCGGTGTCATCCCCACTTGAACCAAAGATAATTTTGCTACTTATAAGAGTGTATCTAGGTTTGTGTATTATGAAGTTGTGACAGGTGAATGTGAATATGGAAAATAGTGATTTCTAAGCTTTTGGTAGTTGTGGCAAACTCTCATGAGACTACATTCCTTTCAAGAAGACCATAAGGTATACCTTTCTTTTGGATGGCATATACATACAATGAAATAGCTATTACCATTAAAATGTTATTTCAAAAGCAAAGAGGCTGAAAAATTTTAAGAAAATGTTTACAGACTATATGTATAGAATGATTTAAATTTTTGTAAAAACAATATAATCAATATGAATGTATAAATACAAAGAAAAAGTCTGCCAGGATTAGAGACCAAAATGTAAATAATGATTGTCTCTAATTAGTGGGTAATCAAGTGACATTTTTTGCCATATATTACTAAAGAAAAGGAAGAAATTTTTTAATGTGTTTAGTATTTTAATCATAGGTGTAAACTGATAACATAGATTAATTAGATATGACTCTGACCACAATTACTGATTTTGTATATGATGCATAATGCTTTATTTGAAAAATACTTATTGAGTATCTACCATGTGCAAACTAATAACAGTGTTGGGTATAAAGTGAGTAAGAGACATTATTTCTGTCCTCTCAAAGTTCCCAATCTGGATGATATTAAACACTGTCAGGTAATTATCAATAGGATGAGTGATATGAAAGTGGGCTGTCATTATTTGTCTGTGTATCCTAAGTAAACAACTGGAAATGTGAACCAAGAAGTTCAAGGATAGAACTGCTCTTCATAGCATTATCAGAACAGTTTTGTTTTGTTTTGTTTTGTTGGTGGTTACTAGGGATCAAATCCGGGGTGTTCTACATCCTGAACACTTTTTTATTTTTTATTTTGAGACAGGGACTTGCTAAATCGCCCAGGCAGAACACAAACTTAAGATCCTCCTGCCTTATCCCTCCTCAGTGCTGAAATTATAGGTGTACATCAACGCACTTGACTTCAGAACAGTTTTACCACTGAAATTAGCTAACTTGGATATTGTTTCTATAAATTATGCTCTATCTATGTAGCATAATATTCAGTCACTAGAATCATACTTTAAAATATCTCTTGACAAAGGAAAGAACTTACAAGATAGAGTTAAAAGCAAAAACAAGATCCCAAATTTGTACGATATAATTTCTATAAATATATGAAAATAAATATGTATTTATGTATATGTACAATGTATGTGTACACATAATGTATATGTATATGTAACATACATACTAAAAGGACTCATACTAAAATGGTAAGAATTCTTTCTGTTGCTTGGTGGGATATTAGTAATTAGGACTTATTTTATTTGTAGCTTTTAAAGGGTGTTCAAAATTTCTGCATCTGAAATTAGAAGTTTATGCTTTACTTCAGAAATCGTTTCAAGCTATATTATCCAGTATATCATAATGGTTTTATTAACAGCAGTGCCTAACAAAGAATTGGTCTTTATGGTTTATTGAAGACAAGAAAGCAAGAAGATTTAATTCATCCTGAGGGAAGATGATTCAGAATCAGGACACTTTGAAAGGCAGAATATTTAAGTGGTTTAAAAGCAGGAATAGCTAGACAGACAGAGTTGTTTAGGGATAAAAATATAGATTAAGAGAAGATAGATATTCTAAAAAAAATACATTCCAAAGTCATTTTAAAAAAAATTTTACCTGAGAATGTGTCTCATTTTCTTGTAATTGTGTTTTCAGTGTCTCATATTCTCTGGTTAGCTTCTCTGTTATTTTCTTAAAGGCATTTTTACGGGTTGATAATACCGTTCTCTCCTGATGCAATTTCTAGATAGATTCAAATAGAAGTATGTATCCTTTTTTTTTTTTTTTTTTTGCCTGGTACCGGGGATCAAACTCGGGACCTTGCGCTTGCAAGGCAGACGGTGGCACCGCTGAGCTAAATCCCCGGCCCCAGTCCAAATAGAAGTAAATAACAGGCTGTAGCAAGGATGTAGTAAGCCAATACAAATTATATTTGGCTTAAATAATTTCAGCGATTGTATTCTTTTTTTTTTTTGGTACCGGGGTTGAACTCGGGTCCTTGAGCTTGCGCAGCAGGCGGCGAAACCACTGAGCTAAATCCCCGGCCCAGCGACTGTATTCTGATAAAATTCTACCACAGGTATAATTACTTTAAGACTTATTTGTAAAAATATCCTTTGATGTTCATTAAAAGCTAAGTGGAGCGCAAGGACCCGAGTTCGATTCCCAGTACCAAAAAAAAAAAAAAAAGCTATGTGGATATTAACTGTATTAATAATAATACTTCCATGTCTGTCTCTACCTCCACAAAATTTACTTTAATGTAAATGGAATGAAAAGACACAAGTTTTCGGTAGAGAAATATATCAAATCTACATTTAACAAAGTTCATATTTGTTAAAATGCTCCATATTAAGTAGTAGCTTATATGCCATTTTTTTCAATTTTTGCCTCTTGTTAATACTTCAAGTCAGTGTAAATTCCAACTACATATGTAAAAAATTTTATTATTTTTTTCTTAGCTTATGTGTCAAATAATTGACTGAAAATGGTGTTACTAAGTACATCTAAAATTAAACCCAATCAGTAAGAACCATTCTGAATTATAACTTCGTAAAATGTTGCTGGCATTTACCTTCCTCTTTTCTTCACCTGATAATTTTAAAGCTGGCAAATCATTATACGTCTCCCGATCCACTGTCATTTGCTTAATTTTGCTCTTCAGAGAATGTTGTTCCTCTATCATCTTACTTTCCAGGAGCTCCATTTTCTCTAGATCTAACTGTAGACGTTGACTGTCTGAAAAATACGAATGTAACGTCATAATAAACCAAAATTTTATTTTTCACATAAGAAAATACAATTAAAAATCATGTTTTACAAAAGTACCTGTAAAAGAAATGTGAACTTTGACCAATGAGACACTATAAAGATAAATTAAGAAAGCTTATCTCCTTACTCACCAATTTAATTTGATATATATTAGCCACACCTGTCTCCATACTCATATAAAAACACACCTGAGTTTTTTGTTGTACTTGATAATATAACTTATGAGATAAATACTCATTACTTTTAATAGGGTCAGGATACATACACATAGTTATATAAAAATCAATATCATTATAAAACATTATATAGATACATATTTGAGAACAATGTTATAATTGCATATACATTCAATTTTCACAGTTTGCAGTACTTATGTTCTATAAAGTCACCATGAAGAATGAGTCAGCAAATGCCAAACTATTGCTCATTGGGGAAATACAGCCTCTGGTCACAAAAACTTTGTCAACTTTGAATATTATAATCATGTTTCATGAGTGTTTCTGTTTAGAAACATTTTTAAAATATATACTGTTTTTTATCTGTTAACATTTAACTCATGGCCAATAACATTAGAACTTATATATGAAATAAAGCTTATCCATCCAGTGCACATTTTCTCCATTAGCCATGTAACAGTCTTCCTGCCCTTCCTTAGGACACTAGACAGCCTGTCAGCACTTCACTTTAGGGCCATTTTAAATAGCATGATCATTTAAAAAAAAAGCACAAAGATGGTACTAGAGAAAAAGGAAACTTATAGTATAAGAACTGAAACAAAGGCAAACTTGCCTTTTTCAACCTCTGCTTGTAATGTGTATGTCAGGCTGTTCAAAATTTTCACCACTCTGCACATACTATGAATGACCATGAACATGCTACAATTATTGACTTGGGGTTACAAATTAATTTAATGAGCAGGAAAGTTCACAAATAGAATCTATGAACAATGAAGACTGACTGTACACATGTACATGCATTTCATTCTTTCATTCAAAAGTATGCCAGATGGTGAGGATATAACAGAGGTCAACAGAGACAGTTTTCCCTCAAGGAGCTGTATCCCAGAGGTAGAACCAGGCAATTAAGTAACACAATAAACTGGATGATTATGAAAAGAGAAACACAACACACCATAAGAGCAAGTGGCAGGGATAAAGAGGAGCTCTCTAAAGACAGGGCTTTTTCACTGAGGCCTTAAGGATTAGTAACCAACCAAAGTAGGAAAAAAGTGATGCAGAGAAAACAATCAAAGAATATAAAGTGCAGAGGTAATAAAGCATAGCATCCTGGACCAAGTAACAGAAACTCAGTATTTGAATATTAATAACATTAATAATATTAATAAATGGAGATGAATAAGTCACTCACTGATTTGAAAAGTGGTGCCTGTATAACCAAAACTTTTAAAAGTTGGTATAATTAAACGGATACTCGTTGAATGTTTCCTTTATCCCCTTAACAGTTTTAAAATTAAAGTTTTAAAATACGACCATAATATATATTACATATAACATATATATATATTCAGTCAAAAATACAGTGAATGTTTCTTAAAAAAAAAACTTATCATAATAAAAGACTCATTGCCAAGACCAATAGGATAAGTATTTCAAAGCAAGGGGAAGTATTTTGAGGGTATTAATGGCAATTTGTCTTTTACTATAATAAATTTTATTTAACTTTCAGCACATGTTTTGATCATACTGAGACCACATATATCAGGACTTTACTGAAAAGAGTTGTTTTGTTGAATTCATATCTCTACTAGGGTTGGAAATACAATGATAATCAAAGTGCTGAAGAAGTCACTAAGGCTTATGATGTTTTAATGCTCGAAACAGGAAATGTGCTTAGCTTATAGATATTTTGACTGAAATAGTTATATAACTAACTGCAAATTTAATTTAAGTATATACTAAGAAAATACATTTAAGAACTACACGAATTGATTTTTCGAGAAAATGCTTGGTTGATTTAGGGTAAGGTTTATCTATCCTTAACAACAGGTCCCCTATAAAGCTAAAAGCTTCTCCAAGAGAAGAGACAGGAAGAGGATGCAGTCTAGTTCCTTCTGATATGCTATGAAGTTGCAAAGTTTACCACACAGTGTGTACATAGTAGCAAAATCTCAGAAGGAACCACTTTGACCTAGGGAAATGTTTCTGAAATATTCTGCCATCAGCACATTTGTTTACTCCCTAGAGTTTCCTTTCCAAAAATATAAATAAAAACTACTACTAAAAGATTTCTTCACCTCTTTACCACACAGTACACCAGTGTTTCTCTACTCTGTTTTTTTTAATTATCAGTCCCCTAAGGCGCCTTCTACAGTCTTTTTACCCAATCGCTTCAGTCCCCTTTATAGCAGAGGTGACGGTGTATCTGTTTACGTACAGTGACCCTTTGGAAGGCTACAGTATCTCAAGATTTTTTTCATCTTCCACCCAAGAAGCAATATTGCTCCTTGGCAATTCACAAAAGTGGAACAGAAAATATATTACCCCTGGAAGGTAAACAAACTCTTATGATGATTTTCAGATATAAGATACTTGTACATCTAAGCCAAGGTTAGAATGTAACTCCTACAGTTGTTTGGCCTGTAAATCAGACCTACAAATGAAACTATGGAAAACAAATTCTAAACAAATTTTGGCATAAAAAATGTTTAAATGTATAGAATAACAGCAATTGTCCACTTGTATCCTCACTCTTAGTCAATGCTACGCTAGTTCCACGCAATATATTACAGATCCAATATTTACAGATCCATAATCCCTTATCTAAAACTCCTGGGCAGTAGTGTTTTAATTTTTTTCTTTTCTTTTTTCTTTTGCATTGGGATTGAACCCAGGGTTATTTGATTATGTTTTATTTTTGAGACAGAGACTCCCTAAGTCACTAAGTTAAACCTAGCTGGGCTCAACTTGCCATCCTCCAGCCTCAGCTGTCCAGCCTGCTGGGATTACAGGCATATGCCACCACACCTAGTTGGCAGTTGCGCTTTTGAATACAGAATTCTTTATATTTTAAAACCAACATAATGTATATACTAATAATTGCATACATTAGGGCCTGAGACAGCACCCTCTCATCAAATACATGAATATTTCGATAACAAAAAGTACAAATAGTCACACAAGGTAGGATTATAAAAGATAACACCCAGCCTCATGTCATTTCAGATCAGGTTTGACTGTGCTGCCCAAATCTTTTTAGAATCCACTATTCCATTACAAGAATCTTTAAACATTTTGAAATTACCAAAGGAAAAAAAATCTCTTCATCTTCTATAATCTCACTAGCTGCCACATAAATCCATGTAGACGAAAACATGGCTAATTCAAATTTACCACCCACCAGCATAAAAAACACCCACAGTCAGAGTCCATCAACTCATAAACCAAAGATTCAGGACACACTTTTACATAACTTTATCCCAGCTTCTTCAAGCTCAACTTTGCAGATGTTTCTTTTTATTTATTTATTTATTTATTTTTTGGTACCAGGGATGGAACTCGGGACCTTGCGCTTTCCAGGCAGGTGCTGGAACCACTGAGCTAAATCCCCAGCCCTGCATATTTGTTTCTAATCTCTACCTGCATTATTCCCATGGCGGCCACTAGTCATACATGGCTTTTAAGCACTTGAAATGTTGCCTAGTCTGCACTAAAATATTATAAGTATAAAATATCTCACTGATCATTTTTATATAGATTTTAGGTTGAAATGACACTTTCTTGGATATGCTGGGTTGAGTAAATTATTAAAATCTACCTCTTCATACTTTAAAAAATATAGTTATGAGACAATTTTAATTATAAACATAGTTTGCATTTTATTTCTCTTGGAGAGTCCTGCTCTAGTTGTATGCTAGCGAGCATGGGTGGCAGTAGTACTTAAAACTGAACACCACCTCCTCTAGGATGCTTCCCTTAATTATCTAAGAGTGGGCTAGATCTGTGTCCTATATATGTCCACTGTGCCCTATGCATACTTCTTTGATAGCATTATTTCACTACAATATCATAATTTGTCATTCTACCAGCTTTGGAAAGTTCATTCAGTAGACAGACTGGATTTTTTTTTTTTTAACCTTTGTACCTGACCAAACTAGTTGTTAGGCTTGTCTGAGGCCTCATCTCAAATAGCCCTCAGCTGTGACCCATAAAAACTCCAGATTTCTGACAGATGAATTCATCCTCCATTCTCTATCCACATCTGAATATTTAACATATTCCCACTGGCTTGAACCACTGGTGGTACATGCATGGCTTACATTACTGGTAGTACAAACAGATCTAGTCACTTTGATGTCTTTTTACTAATAAAATTAATAAAAAGTCTATAAATGGACCAAATCTATTTTGTTGCTTGAATTTGAATAATTACTGCCCAAATATAAATGTTAATACTATTCATACCAATTAAAAATTATTTCAATAATCAACAAATTTATTTCATTAAATTAAAAGAAATTTATACTCGTAGTTTATCAATAATTAATTCTCTAAATTTAACATGGAAATCTTACAAGTACACCATTGCTGGTGTATATAATATGCGTTTATAACTGCTGTACCACAAATTAGCTGTATTACAATTTTTTATACCATTTTAATGTTTTCCTTAAAGACTGTAATAAGTTCCTTAAGGAACTACTAAATCAATGCCTTTCTTTGCATTACTGTAATCAAACACCCCCAAGAAGTGCTACAAGCCACATGACAGGACAGTCATGCATGCAAGACCCCAGTGGTTCAAGCCTGTGGGAATGATAAAACTCAAAGCAGAGCCCCTAGGCAGCATGCCATTTGAATTAGGACTTCGGGTCACAAACATGTTAAACAAACACTAACATAATTGTAACATCTTACTCTAACATCATAACTCTAACATCTACTTTCCTAGGACCACCCTACCTGCTCTTAAAGTCTTGTCTGCAATAACCCAAGACAGCCAAAAGAATTTACTGTTTCTAACCAACCCCTGACAACACGCTCCTGCTACCCTTCCTAGAGTATTTACTAAAAACAGTTTACAAACAATAGTGGTGCAGCTGTGCCAAGAGGATCACAGGTTTGAGCCCATCGTAGGCAACTTAAGCAACTTAGATATACCTCAAAATAATAATAGGGGGTGGGGGGATTGCTCAGTATGAAGACCCTGGGTTCAATCCCCAATAATCTCCCACATACATACACACAAAGAAAAAAAGAGCTTATAATTGTGAATCCTTCCACTGTTCCTCTGAGGAACACACACACACCCTTAACAACCAGGAGTGTTGGTTTCCCAAGGCATTCCTTCGTGAAGTAATCATCAGAGGACAAGGGGCTCTGTCTGCCAGTCACTGTGGGAAGACAGAGTCCCAACCTTGGTAACTGGCAACAGACAGCAACTAGCCTAAGCAGCATTTGCTGCACACTGACAAACCCTTGGTATGTTTTCAGTTCCCCTATTCTGCTGAAACCTAGATGCCTCATTCTCCTTCAGAAATGCCCAGTCACCTCTGTACTGACTAAAGTTGAACTCAGTTCACACTGGACCCTCTTCCTTATTGAATTACTTTCTATGTTACTGATTAAAATTTGTCCTTACTATTTAACATCCAGCTTTATCTTTAACAATTCCCAGGATAAGGTACAGGCATGAAGTACAGGGTTCCTTCCCAATAAATCTATCATAAGTTGAAAATATCTTAACTCAAAAATGCACTTATACTTAACCTACTGAGCCTCCTAGCTTAGCAACAGAGTACATTGTCGAATATTAATTGTTTGCCCTCATGATTGCCTAACTGGAAGCTGTGGCACACTGCTGCTGTCCAGCATCATGAGAGAGTATCAAACTACATTATCACTAGCTCAAAATAAGATCAAAACCCCAAATTTGAAGTAAAGTTTAAAAAGTGACATTGTAAAATTTTTTAAAATCCTAAGTCAAACTATCATAAGTGGCCAGTAATCTCAGCACTTGGGAGACTGGGGCAGGAGGATCACCATGAGTTCAAGGCCTGCCTGGGCTACATAGTTCAAGGCCAGCCTGAAAACTACATAGTGAGACCCTGTCTCAAAATAAATAAATAAATAAATAAATAAATAAATAAATAAATAAAAGGAACCATCAAAAGTCAGAGAAGTCTGTATTCAATAAACATTAAATAAAAGAAAATATATCAATGTAATACTAATAAGTTGATGGGAAAAAGTCACACAAAAATTGAGACTACAAATGATCAGGGTAATAGGAAATCATAAATTATATCTTTCCTCAATGAAGTTTTCAGAAAAAGTCCAAGAGAATAACAATGACACATTTTTACAGTTCTAATTTGTTACAGAGAAAAAAGTATGAAAGTTTAGACCAACTCTCACCTGAAGTCAAATTCCTAGCTGTATTTTGTGATTTCTGCATTTCAGTAGATTTAAAATTGAGGTCATCCTGCATCATCTTTAGTTCCTGGTTGGTGATAGAAGATATCTGTTTCATACGATTTATATTCTGTATTTTGCAGGAAAGAAAAATAGAAAAAAATTCCACTGACTAAACTCTTCATAAAAACCACTGGGAAATACTATTAGGATGGCATGTTTTGATTACTTGTTTTTGAATGTGTGATTCAATTTTGATGTTTTATAGAATAACAGTATGATTCAAAGTCAGGTTTTCTGAATAAGAAAGACTAAATTCCTTTTTTTCTCATTTGCTTTATTTCACTGTAGAAAAAAAACCTGAACTTCATTATCTTAGGAACTGGGAATAGTCTGGTTTTTTGTTTTATTTTTCAAATTAGCATCCTATAATAAAACACAATAGATTTCAAGTACAATTCGGATTTTAACAAATGCACACACCTCTGTAACAATTTTGTGGTTACTACAGGGATCACCGCCCCAGTGGATCCCTACGCTTATGATCAACCAACCCTTGCTCACCAGCCCCCAAACTACCTCACTTCTGTTTTGTCATAGAAGTTCATGTAAATAGAATCATAGTATATAGAATTTTGAGTCTGCATTCTTTCACTCAACATAACATTTTTGAGATTCATCCATAATAATGCATAAACCAATCACTGCTTCCTCTTTTTCCAGAGCAGTATTCCATTATATGGATCTATCACAAATTGTTCATTCATTTCTCAGTTGATAGTCATTTGGCATACTTCTAGTTTTAGGCTATTTCCCAGCAAAGCTGGTATAAACAACCATGTACATCTTTTGCGGACATATATTTTCTTTTGTGTTTGATAACTGGGTGGGATTTATTGCTGGCTCTTATGGTAGATCCATGTTTAATTTATAAGAAATGGCTAGTTTCCCAAAGCAGTGTATCAGAGTTTCAGCTGCTTCACACTCTTGTCATATATTAGTCTTTGGGGGGTAAGAGGGGTGGGTAATAGAAGTTGAACCTGTGGCCTTGTGCATGATAGGCAAATACTTGACCACTGAGCTACAACCCAACCCCTTACCACCAATTTGTTTTGTTTTATTTTGTTTGGGTTTTTTTTACTGGGGATCAAACTCACAACCTTGCACTGGTGAGGGAGGTGCGGTGCCACTGACCTAAATCCCCGGCCCACCATGAGTTTTAACTGTGATCATTTTAGTGAGTTGTATTGGTATCTCACTGTGGTTTTAACTTGTATGGCCCTATTGGTAAATAACGTGTTGGGCATTTTTTTATGTATATATTGGCCATCTGAATATCTTTTTCTTTTTCTTTTTTTTTTTTTTTTTGCCTTTTCTCATTTATTTTAAAAGCTATTAAGACACCAGTTTTAAAAAGGGTAGAATTAATATTTTATTGTCATTTATAATTAGATGGCAGTTGGGTATATAGTTTCCATACTTCATATTTTTCATAAATAAAAAAATTAAAAGTTTTACACAGTGGATAGCTCGTTATATTCTTCAGAAAACACAATTAGACTAATTCAGTAATGGTGGCTTCAAGCTTTTCCTTATTAGCACCAGAAAACTCACCTACCTTTTCACCCTTTTTAAAAAACTGGAAGGTTGGCATGCATTTGACTTCACACTCTCCTGACAGTCATCCACATCTACTTCAAGGAACAACACGGAATATTTTTCAGACAGGGAATGAAAGAAAGGTTTGATCATTTTGCAAGGCCCACACCACGTGGCTGAGAAGTCAGCTACTACAAGTTTATCTCCTGCAGCATCCAAGGCTTGCTGAAAAGCCTCTTTGCTATTGATCTGCTGCACCATTTTGGATGCTGGAGGTCTGATGAGCTACAGAAGCAAGACATGGAAGCGGATTGAAGGCGCAGGACCTAGCCCTGAATATCTTTTTCATTAGGTTGTCTTCTTATTAATGAATTGTAAGAGATCTTTATATATTTCAGCTGTAAGATTTTTGTCAGAAATTACTGGCAATATTTTATCCCTGTCTGTGGCTTGCCTTTTCATTTTCTTACTGATGTCTTATAAAGACCAGAAGTTTTTAATTTTGATTAAGTTCAATATATCTATCATTATATGGTTTGTGGGGGATTTTTTGGTTGTTGTTGTTTGTGGTGTATTATTCTAGAGATCTATGCCCACTCAAAAGTTGCAAAGACTTCTTCCTATTTTTTCTTCTAGAGCCTTTATAATTTTGCCTTTACACTTGGGTCTGTGATACAGTTGAATTAACTGTGTATAGCATGAGGTAAGGAATGAGGATTATTGCTTTCTATGAGGATATCTTGTTCTAGCACCATTAAAAAGATGATCTGCTCTCCATTGTATTCTTTGTTGGAAATCAGTTAATCCAATATTTATGATCTATTTCTAGACCTTCTATGTGTTGTTCTCTTAATCTATATGCCTATCTTCATGCTAATACCACAAAGAAATGATTATTGTAGAAATGATTATTATAGTAAGTCCAGAAACTAAGTACTATAAATTCTCTAAATTTGTCCTTTTTCAAAATTGTTTTTGCTACTTAGATCCCTTGCATTTCTTCATAGACTTTAGTATCATTTTGTCAATATGTAGGTAGAAGGCTGTTGAGTTTTGACAGATTGCAATAAATCTATAAACAAATTTATGGAGGATTAACTTTCTAACAATATCAAATATGTTGAGTCATAAATAGGTCTACTTGGGGCTTTTAAAATTTTCCTCAGTAGTGTTTTATAGTTTTCAATGTGCAGATATTACCAAATATTTTTTAAAGGATTCCTGTAAATAACTCTGCATGCATGGATTCTATGCCCTGGCAGTGGCCACCACCAACTCCATGCCCACAATGTGTTTTGTTTTCCCTCAACACTGAGCAGCAGAGGTGCCAACCAATCAACCAGCCCAATCATGGATGATGCCAATGTGCAGGGAGAGAAGGTAAGCCCTGGAGAGTCAGCAGCTCCATGGAGATAAAATATACCTGGCCAGCAGTACTAGCCCCAAGAAAAGCCCATGGTTATTATAAACTAAAAATAGTGCAGAGTTTTACATCAAAAGTGACTCCATCATGGAAGGATAGAAATGAAAATCAATGCAGACTCTGCCATATTGCCAGAAAGAGTTTAATCAGGATCCATTATGCAAAGGGGTTCTGGGCCACAGAACAACTACAAAACAACTTCACTTCAGGGTTTCCAGTGTTACCCTCCCACAGTGACTGGTGTGAGAGAGAGTAATGAGAGAAAGCTGTGAGGAAGGTGTAGGCTGCATAATACACCCCCTGAGAAGTTTAAGCTCAAGCCAGGAAGGAGACATGCCCTGCCCTCTGTGACGAGAAAGTAGGGCCAGTGAGTGTGGCTTTAACAGGTGGATGGATCTGGAAGTACTGGCATCAAGTCCAGTAGTCTGTTTGAACCCCCAGCCCACACCAGTAGAAAACAGTGGTCTGATTACTTTCACCATCTAGGAAGTGAGCAAGGACACATTTTGGCTTTGGTTGTCACAGTCTAGAATATATGGAGAGAGTGCTCTCTGCAGCAGGAGCACCTCACAAACCAACAGATCATAAAGCCAAATGGAGAAAATCATGATTTGCTGGATTCCAAGACTGAAGATCCTGGAAAGAAACCACTCATTCAGAGGAATTTTTAATTCAAATTTTTCTTTCTTTTTCTCTCACTGACTTTAATGAGGTTTGGGGGTTTTTTTTCTCCTTTTTTCTTTCTTTCTTGTCTCCTTCTAGTTTTCTTATTTTTTCTTTATTTTGCTGTTTTTCCTTTTTTGTTCTATCTTCTTTGTTCTTTTCTGTTTATCTAATAGTATTAATTTCCTTTTACTCTTCAATTGGATCCTTTATCTCACTTTTCTCTCCTCTTTTTCATCTTCTATGGATTAACTTTTCCAATTCTACTTTTTTCACTATCTGGTTCCCTAACCATTCTTCTTTACCAGTGTAACCTTTAAACTTAACGAATATGTAGAGTTAACTCTAAGCTCTTATTGGTGAATACTGTTCTGTTGTAGCAGAGGTATAGTTGTTACATTTAGTAGATACTTACTGTATGTCAATATTTGGTTTGTCTTAGTGTTTATACTATATAGTAATAGTTCACAAATGCTTCTGTTTGCAAACAATTCAGTTCACGCACAGAAGGATTAGGCAAAATTTTGGTTTCATTTGCAAACTTCACATTGGGTGACGAACACGACTGTGGCTATCTTCCCACACAAACACAAACATAGCCATCTTCCCCAGAATTGTGGAACAAGTTAAATTTGTGAACCAAGCTACCACTGTAATGATACATTTTCTTTCCGTGGTTAAGGGTGGTACAATACTGGTTCTTAGGTTATGTCAATATCTAGTTTGTCCTTATGCTGTTACTCTGGCTGATTTTATTGCTACAGCCAAGGTGGCATAGTTGTTGCTATTAACTGATTTTCTTGGTATGCCAATATCTGGATTCCTCAATACTGCAGTCCATTCCTGGGGAAGTAGGTGCTGGACCAAATACATGGCAGTGTCTCCTCCCAAATAAACAGAGGAGGTTGGTGAAGCGTTAAAGTTAAGTATAAAAAGATCTTCTTGTTCATAACTGAGTGCTGTGGCCTTGTTCTAAAGATTAGATGTTGGGGTGCCTGGCACAGCATCTTGACATGAACAGAAACTCCTTGTGAGACTGGCCAGCTATCAAGGATAATCTTTCTTACCTATCTAGAAGACACAGATGTTCGTCACCAGGCACTTGGCCAGTTCTTGGGGGCCACAGATTCCCCACCTCTGGTCACATACACAGTTGGGATACTGCCTCTCAACTACTATTTTAAGGGACCTCAATGGTAGGAGGACTTTGGAGTCTCATACATGGAGAGAACACTCTTTCCAGACCCTTCCCAGTCAGAATCCTGAAAGCCATGTAATGGAACTCCTCAGCGTTGGAGTTGGAATTTCATGTGCTAAAGGTCTTGCCATCTGGCGATGTAACTGTCTTTCTGTACTTCTTTCTTCTTCTGTGTAATTATGTATGTCAATTAACATTTTATTAAACTTTTTTTATATTGCTTTTACCTTGGTGTTACAGGCTTTTG